CGGCGATGCGTTTATGATCCAATTTATTTATAAATAATAATGTCCTATATAAGAGTAATTTAGAATCGAATATTTCGCGAATTATGACAAAGTAAAACAAAGGATTTGGCGAATGTGTCCTTAATAATATTCCTCTTTTACACTTTTGTTCAACGATAATCGACGATAATTTAATTCGGAGTATTTTATTTATTGTCTTCGAGAATTACAATTCGACAATTCGACAACAGGACAATTCGATAGCTTTGTTTCGGATTTATCGCGTTTCATTGTAAATAAAGTATCTCGTTAACGTTCAATTTATCCGGACAACATGGAAAAAGAATTCGTTCAACAATGTCACACGTAAATCCCGCATTTATATTGTCAACTTTAATTCATTTTTATTACATCAAGTTTATTTTCCCAACTGACCATTTCAATTCACTCGTAATTTGTTATATAAAACGTGTTTCGTTAAACGGAGAAGCATTGTCTCATGAATATAAAACGATTGTTTGCCTTTTTCATTCACGGGCAAAGAAAAGTGCGTTCAGCTGATATAAGAATTTATCATTGACTCGTCAATTAACCTAACTCACGTGTATTCGCGATATACCCACCGCCTGAGTCTTCACGAATAGAATAATAGCTCTAAAACAAGATTCAAAGTAATTTCAATTCAAGATTCACGATCATCCCAAATGGACATCTACAATCGTTTAGAATTGAGATATACGACAAGCCCGAGTCTGAATCTGCAATCATTTCAAATTGCAATCAACGATTATGCCAAATTGAGACGTTTGACTGACTATACGTGAAATTTTGTAATCATCTCAAATTGTATGTCGTCATTTTTTCAATTACAATTTTGTGACCATTCTAAACAACATCTTATTGCAAACACTTTGCACACAATCTTGACACAATTTATTTGATGAACAAAATACACCTTAATTATAAAAATACGTCTGTTCTATACATTGATAAATGTATAGGAGAGGCAGAAAATATTTTAGTTCTGGAAAGAGACAAAGATAAAATGGTGGAAACTTTGAAATTGAAAGGGTAAAATTGTTAGGAAGATTTGCGATGACAACTCTTGCTATAGCCATTGCAATTTAATAGAATTTGACTGAAAAATTCAATTATATTGACATTTTCGACTAATATCGTGGTGAGCTAATTTTTTTACATAAATAAGGAGGAAAAATCTTATTGGATTGCTATAGCCATTGAAATTTAATAGAATTTGACAGAAAAATTCAATTATATTGACATTTTCAACTAATATCGTGGTGAGCTAATTTTTTTACATAAATAAGGAGGAAAAATCCTATTGGATTGCTATAGTCTATTACATATCTCCCAGTCATGGATTTTAGAGTGATTATAATGATTGTTAGGTCTGGTAGATCGTACTTCTTAGAACTGTAGATACCCACAGCCATGAACTATCTTACATAAATCCGATGATAATTATGCTATGTGTCGTTAAATTCCAAAGCATCCCAAAAAATTTTTAAATTAACACTAGAACTACCGATCTTTAATGGGTACCTAACTATAACGTGCACGGATTATAGCAATTTCAGCGGTACGATGAATATGAGTAAATATATCAATTACAGTTCTTTCTTAATACGAGTTAATGCCAATTTTATTGGAAAATTCTGGGACCAGTCAGTTTGACTGGGTTGGTAGTTCCAGTGTTAATCGACTTAGGGGATAAAAATATTTTCTGCAAACACCTGTCAAAAACGAAATATTCCCTACTTCTCATATAAAGACATTAATATCGGGAAGAGAATTTTAAAAATTCCTGTGCACTCTTATCCTCGACGAGTCTTAATTTTTCGCATTACTACGGACAGGGTCATTGAACGGACGCGTTCACGTGTGCATAGCTGCAGCGTGGATGCACAACGGACTCTTGACAGCAATCGAATAAGTGACCGAGCGAAGTTTGGTCTAGGAATTCGAACGAAATACGAATGGGAATATCGGAGAACTAGCCGACGATTCCCGATTCAGAGAGCTGAATATGAAATCCACGGTCTTTGACAGTGCATCGTGGCAATTTCTTGAGCCAAGAAGTAGGTTAATTACGTTCGTGCGATCCGAGTGTACCGTACCGCGGCGGCCATGCAGCACGAAGCTTGTCAGCTTCTATGCACGCGGGAACTCGCTCATTAAGGCAACATTCACAAGGTCGTGTCGTGTCTTTGCAACTGGTCGATCACGTGGCGGAATATATAATGCGGCTGTTATGCGTACCGCGACGCCACGTTACGTGCCGGACATTCAGACGACGCTGACTCATCTGTGCCGGATGATGATGGAGACGGGCATGAACCAGCGCCGATTAGGAAACCGGCAACTGTCCACGAGTCCACGTTCCATTTCGTTTCTCATTTTTCCTCCGATCAGGAGGAAAGATGCGAGACAGATACCTTTGCTTCCTGACCCTTGCAGGAAGACTCTGTCAGCTGAGCGCAGAGACGAGAAGTAGAAATAGACTGTGCCACCTAGGGAACTTACATTTCTTCTTCTCGGACTTTCATCTCCAGGTGCAGGAAGAGTTTTTGAAATTTTTAAACAACTCGATTTTCGTCTCTCTTCTATTTCGTGTCCTTTTTCATGATCACGTGAGAATTTTCTTGTGAATTTCTGTTCTTAAGCTGACGAAGGTGAAATTATTTTAGGAAATTTTTGAACATTTTCACTGTCAAAATGAGATGTATGTTTCTTTAGGTCGGATTTTATTTCTATAATCGAGTGGAAAGGAAGGAGATCTATGAAATATTGAAATTTGTTCACTGTACAAATCGATTAACTCCACTTTTTGAAAAATCTTAAATTTAAGAGTCAAGGCACTTGATGTAGTCATAACTTTTTATATTTATAATAATTTTCCTTAATAATTAAGATTAACACCATTAAAGGACAAAAATTTGTTGGCCACTGGATAATAAATAATTTATTTCAGAGGTCACTTTGATTAACTCCGTACTCTAATGTAAATCGTTGCAATAATGCAACTCAAATGCACTAGCAAGCCATGAATGATAACGGTGAATTTTTTAGTGCCGTCTTATCAGAATTTAAGTAAAATTTAGTAAAATTTAAATTTATTACTTTTCTCGCTTGCCAAATCGATTAACTCTTCCAGTAACATAAAAATGGTAACATTACTAACGATTACCTTTTGGTTATTTTTTCTTATAAATTTTATATGCCGTTAGATGAAAGTTACATTTGCATTTATGCATTCTACGATATTTATTTCGATTTAAATTATAAAGGGAATTTTAAAAAATAATATACGTTATTTCAATGCATTTCTCCACTTTTTCTTTTATGGAGTTAATCAATTTGTGCAGTGAACGGCTCATTTATTGAATCTTTGGAAATATTAAAGTTATTAGAATTTAAATTGAATCTCTATATATAATTTTGTACTTTAGAAAGGAAGTACACTTCAATGAAGATGTTATATATTATTATTATAATTATTATTATATATTATTTGTAATACAATAATATATATTATGTATAATATTTAATATATATTTATATTATTTATATTTTGTATAACAATATTTAATATACATATTTTTAGTATTATTATGGTATTGACAGTGCTTCATTAAAATGTAATAAATAATATTAATTAAAGGAAGTAATATCTCAATGGAAATACAGTATAGGCTGAGTGAATAGTAAATTTGTATACGCAAACATGCGTATTGGATATTTTTAATATAATAAATTGGAAACTTGGATACTTTTAAATGATGAAATAAGAAGCTGTAAAAAGTGTTGAGAAATACCTTTTGTAAATACCTTATTAGAAACTTCATCAACTGTCTCGGAAAAGGGTCATTTTAATATTCGAGTAATATAACGATAGTGATTGAAATTCGTACAAGTACAATAAGAAGCACAGCAGTAAATACGAATGGAACGATTTCTGAACGAAATCGTGGCTTTATTTGTCTTATGTTCGTATTTCAACTGAAACGTTCTCGATTCTAGGTATTAACTTTATTTATTCGTATTTTATACATACATATAACAAATCGCGCTATAAATCATTCCTCTATATATTTACATTTTTATAATTTTTGCGGTTTTAGTTTAAATTGCGATATTTATAATTTGTCTCGCTTGCGCTATCAATGACTAGGCCAGTAAATTATACCTCAATACGGTGTCATTTATCACTCGCGACTCAGTCGAAGTAAATAAACGTAGCGAAACGTGTATCTACTCCACGAAACATATTTAAAATTGCGTAAAAATATTCGTTATCGTTGAGTCTCGAATTTTACGATTATCTCCACTGACGACAATTCAACGATAAACTGAACCTACTTCGGAATACATCTACAGAGGCGCCATTTTTGTCGTTATACTCCTACAATGGTAAATTAATCAGCGAAAAATAAATCGAGGAAATAATGTACAATTACAATAGGCTTGGATTATGGTTATTGTAACGAGTACAATCACTGTCTATCACACGCAACCTGAAAGGTATTTAAATCGTTATTTACCAGCAGCCTCCTAATCTATCTGCCCACGCCATCATTTATCGACTGCGCGTCTATTAATCGGATTTTATATGTATCATCTACCCATTTCGTATAAATTTTTAATAAATTTGAGGTTAGGAAGAAATCACCAGATTTCTAATTTTTCTGATTTGTCTGATTTTTTGATTTCGTATATTAATCGGATTATATATGTATCATCGGCCAATTTCCTACGAATTTTTAATAAATTTGAGGTTAAAAAGTAATCAGCAGATTTATGATTTTTCAGATTTTTTGATTTCGTCTATTAATCGTATTTCATATATATTATTTGTCAATTTCCTATGAATTTTTAATAAATTTAAGGTTAGGAAGAAACCAGCAGATTTCTGATTTTTTGATTTCGTCTATTAATCGGATTTTACATATATCATCTGTCAATTCCCTATGAATTTTAAATAAATTTGAGGTTAGGAAGAAAGAAGCAGATTCCTGATTTTTCTGATATTCTGATTTCGTTTATTAATTTGATTTTGCATATATCATCTGTCAATTCCCTATGAATTTTGAATAAATTTAAGGTTAGGAAGAAATCAGCAGATTTCTTTCAAGTCGTTTTAAATAATCGTATGCATTTGGATATGGTAATTCAGAACTGACAAAAGTAAGCCAAGGCCAACAAGGAACGCATTAAGAGTCATTACGCCAATAACACCACAAGCGGTCGGTCGTTGACCTTAAACGTTTCACCACGAAAATATAATCATTACATACTCCATATGCGTCACGTTTGTTTTAACATATATATATTACTTTAATCTCGTTGAAACAAAAACGTGTCAGTCATTTTCATATCTCATTGTTCCTGGCAACTTTTACAAAGCTGATATAAAAATAAACTCGCGACAAACAGTTTCTCGATACGACATAAGGCCAATATCTAGTCAAAAAGATAACAAATATTCCGTATATATTTATATAACAATATACCGAATTAACGGCTAGCATTTATACTCGTGAGTTTTGATACTCTGAATCTTGAGTTGTCAATGTCATTTGATCATATTCCATTTTAATTATCAGGATATCTATCGGGTATTTTATCGATGAGCATCGTCGTCCCTGGAACTGCAATTTTCTCTACTCCAGCTTTCTTGTTGCTCCTCGGTTGGATCTTGAACCAGAACCCGTTCTCAGCCGTCACAGCGAACCCTTTCTTGCTCAACTTCATCGGTATGGTTGTCTTCGAGCAGGGAATGAGATCACACTTTGCGAATATGTGAAACAGCAACACCTTCGACTCCAGCAACGCGAATCTGTTACCGATGCACATCCTGGGCCCCATACCGAAGGCTATCAGCGACCCAGCGTTGAGAAACTGCTTAGGATCACCGTTGAACCTGTCAGGATTGAACTTCTCCGGCTCTGGGAAATACTTTGGATCGTGTTGGATCCCATAGATCGGTATCCACAGGCAATCACCCTTCTGCACGACGTGTGGCTTTTCCCCTGGCAGATGTGGTGGCAGTTCGAACGGTTTCATGCACAGTCTGTCAGCAGCGACAATCGCAGGGTACATCCTGAGACTCTCGTAAATGACAGCATCCAGGTACTTCATTTCGTTTATAGCCTCGTACGTGACGTTTCCGTTGCACTCCTCCAGAACTTGGTCGATCTCAGCCTGTAGCCTCCTTTGGATCTCCTCGTTCACACCAACTCCATAAGCAGCGAAGCACATGAGAGTAGAGGTGCTCTCGAACCCACCGAAAAAGAAGACGAACGCCTGAGCCGTCATATCCATGATAGACAGTTCCTTCCCGGGTCCCAATTTCCCTCTGGTCTCCATCATCAACTGAATCATGTCCGGCCGAACGATGTTCTGCTCGTCCCTGGTCTTTATCGTAGTCTCCACCAGGTCCTTGAAGAATTTCGTGATCTCAGGCCTGATGATGCTGATACCCAACCGATCGGTCAGCCATGGCGCGCTTCTCACCAAGAAGAACTTGAGGGATTGCCACCTCCCGAAGTTAGTAGCCTCTCTGCCCAGCACGTAGAACTTGTTTTTCGGATCCTTCATAGAGTTCACGTTCACGCCAAAGGCACAGGTGGCGATCACGTCGTTCGTGTACCTGGTGAACGCGTTCTTCAGTTCAATGATGGACTCCTCTTCCTTCAGATTAGCCAGATAATTTCCATATTCCTTGGCACAGTCGCGCATTAACACGTACATCATCTTCATCTTGCTAGACGTGAAGGCTGGGCTCAGTAAGTTCCGCACTTCCTTCCACCTTTCACCGCGAAGGGCGAACAAGTTTTTGTTGAACATTGGTTCCGTATCCTCGTTCTGCAGGTTCCTGTGGTCGGGAAAGTGCTCGAAGTTCTTCACGGTGATCGACTTGATCAGGTCCAGGTCCTTGAGCATGATCACCGGCATGGAGAAGTCGAAGAACCCGACATACTTCGCCTCAGGATGAACGTTGTACGCTTCTTTAACGATATCGGCGAACGTGGATTGCTGAAGCACTGCCTTCCAAATGCTTCCCATCAACGGGTTCACTTTGAGGCAAGGAATGTTGCGTTTCTCGAAATAATCCGCGTTTCGAGCTAGAAGATAGTAGGCTAGCGTGAACACGGCCACTAGGAGCGCGATTACTGTCCACCACACCATTTTCAAATTATTTTCCAATCGACTTGGTCGTTTCTATCAGATACTTCCGCTACACGTCACTGTTCCACTTAATAGAGACTGGTCACAATTATGTATAACACTGGACGAACTGACACACCTCTTCCTCTTTTGGGTCACTTTCACGTTAATGAAATTGGCGTAGTTGTGACAGAATTCCTATATTGACACGTTGGTTGGTGAGCAATTTTGAACTTTGTGAACAACAGTAAGACATTAACGAGAGGAACGATTCGTCTGCGACCATACTTGATCGCTGGCTGCGTGAGGACTGCTCGAGTAGGAATGATGAAATCGGCGTCATATTTATACTCAACCATGCAGCAAACATTTTAGACGCGAAGAAGCTTCCCTGGGACTTTAATTTTCGTCGATGATACTCGCGGATAATGTTATAGAAGGTTAGTGTACTTCGTGTGTTTATGTATTTAGTGTCTCCTTTTGGTATATGTTATACAAAAAAGTATCAAGTATTCTTGTGAGAGTTGCATAATTGGCATGATTGAAGAAATTGCGTCAGTGGAAATAAAGTGCCTCGTAATTTGCTTCTTGGCACTTTTGTTACTTTATTAAGAATATTATTATACTGTCATATTATTCGATTTTATATATTTTAATTATATTATTATTATATTATAGTATATATAATAATATAAATATAATATAAATATATAGTGATATAATAAATAGATATGCTAATTATATTATTAACTGACTATCGAAAATTTTCTTTTTTCAGACACTGCTCCTTCATAAATCTTCATTCCATCGTCAGTGGTTCAGTCATGGTTCAGAAGTGTATGACAGGTATGTAAATGCAATTGTAAATCAGCATAATGTTTATTTTAAATACAGTAGAATCCCATTACATTAATGAAGTAATGAAGACAAACGTGTTCGTGCAAGGGAATTTTTATGAAATTTTTCACACATGAAATCGGAGAATGACAATATCGTTAGGACCTCCTTTTCAACAAAATTTAAAAAGTTATATTTATTATGATTGATTTTGTAACACCATATTATTCTCTTCAATTCCTTTCAAATTTCCACTTTTAAGTTTTTTAATTGTGTCATATACTTTTACAGTGATCCAATTATTTATAATATATATATTATATATATCTTTATTTGCTGTCATTATATTACTATAACAATATAAAGCTATAATGACAATTTTTTCGAATTATTATTATTATCACTATTGCCATATAATATACTATAGTGTAGTGTTAGGACCTCCTTTTCAACAAAATTTAGAAAATTATATTTATTATGATTGATTTTGCAACACCATGTTTTTCTCTTCAATTTCTTTCAAATTTCCACTTTTAAGTTTCTTAATTGTGTCACATACTTTTGCAATGGTCTACTTATATATACTATATATATTTTTATTTGCTGTCATTATGTCTCTATAACAATATAAAGCTATAATGACAATTTTTTCGAATTATTATTATTGTCACCATTGCCATATAATATACTATAGTATATTAACACTAAACCTGTCATAATCAAATGACCCGTGAATGGAAAAGAAGCAGAAGCTTTAAAGAATGGAATAACGGGAGACATTAAGAAAATGATTATACGAATATCGAAAGAAAAATTGCGAAGACGAGTTCACGATTCAGGTGAAAACGTTGAACGCGGAATTTTTAATGAAAGTTTAGAAAACTTCAGGTTTAGCGTTAATTTCATACCAAATTACCGTAAACAGAGTTCACCTTACAGAAGGAAATATACATTTTACTTAACTTTACACAGCGTTGTAATTAGAAATACGTTGATCGTGTAGTAAAACATTCGTATAACTGGTGTTCCTCTGTAATAATATTAATTTCAAGACGTACAAGAACGCGTGGCCTAATCAGTTGGATACTTTATCGATAAAGAATTCCTTTGTTCACGGTATCAAAGCACTTCACGTTTTTTTCTAGGAATCAAAATTAATTCGCAAATATTCCCCAACATATATTTCAAAATACTCAATGCTTTCAAAGCACTGAATAAGAAAAATCGGATAAAAGCATCCGCGAGCACTCGCAAACGCAGTCCCTTAGTCAAACGATTTTTTCCTCGCCACGACCCTTAACCAGAATCCATTCTTCGCCATAAGGAACACGCCTCTCTTCTTCAACTCGATGGGCAATGTCGTTTTAGAGCAAACTTCCAGCCGGCAGCTCGCGAGGATATAAAACAGAGCGACTTTAATCTCTACCAGCGAGAACCTGTTGCCTATACAGTTCCTTGGACCCATGCCAAACGGTAAATACGATCCACCGATGACGATATTGCTGCTCTTATCTAGAAATCGATCGGGTTTAAAGTTGTCGGGTTTCTCGAAATACCGGGGATCGCGTTGTATCGCATAAATGGGCAACCACACATGCGAACCTTCTTCCAGTACGTACGGCTTTGTCCCGGGTAGCGTTTCGGGTAATTCGAATCGTTTGGAACACTCTCGGTCGGTAATAGGTATAATTGGATACATTCTCAATGCCTCGTTAATCACAGCGTCGAGATACTCGAGGCTATTTAATCGTTCCAACGTCATTTCGTCTCCAGCATCCTCGAGAATGCTATCAATCTCAGCGTGAAGTCTTTCCTGCAACTCTGGGTTCGCAGCCAATTCGTGAGCAGCGAAGCACAGCAGGCTGGAAGTGGTCTCGAAGCCACCGAAGAAGAAGACAAACGCCTGAGCAGTTATATCGTCGACTGTCAGTTCCTTACCTGGGCCCAGTTTATGCCTAGTCTCCATCATTAGCTGGATGAAGTCGGGTCTAACTATTCCCTGCTCCTCCCTGACTTTTATATTATCAGACACCACTTTCTTGAAGAAGTCGGTCACCTCTTTGCTCAGTAACGTCAAGCCCAGCTTCTTGGATAATCTCGGGAACAGTCTGAGCATGACGAACTTCATGATGGCCACGCTGTGAATGTCTAGAGCTTCTCTGCCTAAAGCGTAGAACTTGTTCTGACGATCGGTCAGGGAATTGATGGTGATTCCGAAGGCACACGTGGCGAACACGTCGTTGGCGTACCTCGTGAACACATCCTTCATCTCCGTCACGTTTTGGTCTTGTGAAAGGGTCGAGAGATATTTCGCGACGTTCATTGCGGTCTCTGTCATCAGCGGGAACATTGATCGCAGCTTGCTAGAGGTGAAGGCTGGCGTGATCAGCGATCGAACCTCTTTCCACCTGTCATCGCGAAGTAACAGAAGATTGTTACCGAGGAAGCTGTCCAACTCGTCGTTGCCGAAATTCCGATGGTTCCTGAAATGATCGAAGTTCTTCACAGTGATGGACTTTATTAGTTCCGGGTCCCGAATCATCACGACTGGAGACATTCTGTTGTAGAATCCCACGTATTTCGCAGTTGGTGCTAGATTGTAGATGTCCTGAACCACGACAGCGAATGGTTTCTTGGTTATTATCGACTCCCACGTGCTACCCAATAAGGGAATCCAGCTCTTGAAAGGTATACCATAGGCTTGTAACGGGTGTCGGCGTTTGTAGAGGTAACAGGCAATCAGAATCGCGAGGACACTCGATGATATCCAAAAGAAATCCATGATGATAACTTTGAGGTTAGGTAAACAAGTCTGTCTCCGACGTTCGATCTGTCGTTTTATACGAAACGAGGTAGTTTCGAGAATATCAAAATCTGGAAATTTGAAAATGTGTTTTGAGTTATGCAACATCGATTTCAAAATTGAAAATCTGTAAATCTGAATATAATGTGATATATAAACATTATATTTACAGTCGATATTTGTGACATAAATTGGTATGTTTCGAGTTACATAATGGCGATCGTCTTATTTTGAGGTTAGGTGAAAAAGTCAGTTACCAAGTTATTCGTCGTAACAATATTATTATTATTATTTTATTCATAAACGGGCTGTAGTCCATTTACATAAAATTTCACATATGAAAGAAAAGTAAACAAATTATGCATAATATAACACCGAAGGGACGTGCTTATAAACGCTTTGTTCAGGAGGAATAGCTTTAATCAATAATCATCCGTAATTGTCTTTTGAAAGTTTGTAAAGACCAATAAAAAAATCTGTACGATTATAAAGAGTGTTTGAGTCAGTGATAATACGATAAATTGGATTAATTGATCCATATGTGGATCTGAACATATGTTTATGAAAACCTGCTCTAGATCTCGATACACGTTCTGGCACGTAGAAATTAATTTGCGCAAGAAGAGAGGAGCAATCGATGTGATTATTAATTAAATTAAAGATAAAACTATGGTCAGCTATTCTTCTTTGTGCAGACAATGTTTCCAGGTTGACGGTATTTAATATCGCGGAGTAATCATGATCAAAAGTTGATATTGGGTTATTTAGCTTATATGCGCAAAACCTGAGAAATTTATGCTGCACTCTCTCATAACTATGGTCAGCTATTCTTCTTTGTGCAGACAATGTTTCCAGGTTGACGGTATTTAATATCGCAGAGTAATCATGATCAAAAATTGATATTGGGTTATTTAGCTTATATGCGCAAAACCTGAGAAATTTATGCTGCACTCTCTCGATCGTGATTTCGTAAAGCTTTTTGGAGATGATGTAATTGCAGCATATTCCAGTAAGGGACGAACGACAAATTTTACCGATTATGAAAGTGACCTAAGTCACGTACATTTTTGAAATATCAAAAATGTCGCTTTTTAAATATATCGTGTATCAAAAATCATTTTGACACGTTGACTGCCACACTGACGAAATTTCCATTATTCTTAGGATGTAATGACGAATTATCAGATATGGCAAAGAAAAGAAAATGGTGGAAATTATTAGTGTTTTCTATCCATAGTTCTCTATTTATTTACGTCGTTAAAATTGTCGAAAAATTATTAAAATAAAAGAAATATAAATTTGGAAAATTAGTATCGGAAAATCGATCGTGATTTCGTGATCAAAGCTTTATATGTAAATCACGATTGCTTTTGATAATGTAAAAACCCGTGTACTTGGAAGTATGATTCGAGTTCGGCGGTAGTAATCGCGCAATTTTGAGGTTAGGTCGGCAAGTTGAACGATAATACGCGCGACATGAACGTTTCGAATACTATGATTTTCTAAACTATCGCAGTGTTTTGAGAATGAGTTACGTAAACGAATGCTCGGGAGTGTGCAATTCCATTATTATCCGTTATATAATCGAACAATTGGAAATCAGACAATGATCGAATTATTGTGGAATGTGGCGCCATTCGACGACTGCAGTTTTCCTGTGTTATGATACGTATTTGACACAAAAGACCGAGGTGGCCGTTAATAGAATCGTTAATTAGCTTACTTAATCAATGACGTTTACAGCTGATTCGGTCGTATGTCTTTCCACAATGTCCATCGTACGTCGACATTCTCGAATGACTGACGTAACGCTACAAAGTCCGCTTTTACGTCTACGCATCGTGCAACACGAATCAAATCGAGGCAACGGCGTTCGTTGACATTCAGATAACACTAAATCATCACACTATGAAGAAAATACGGAGAAGGATATGTTTTGATCGATTCGCGTGCGACAGAAATGAATTAAAAATTAATTAAAAGTAACAAAAATAGAAAATAAAAAGTAACCATGAGAAAAGTCGATGTCTGAATTGGCTCATTCGATTTTTCTAAATATCTTTCGAATCAATAATTTTGAAGTCCCTCTGTCATTTTTCAAAAATATTTCTTTCCTCGAAAAGGTATTTAAATACACGTATATTAATTTGCAATACCGTTACATAATTATTCAAGATTGATATTTTACGATAGAAATGAATTAGAAATTAATTAAACATAAAAAAATAACCTCTAGAAAAGTCGATGTCTAAATCGGTTCATACCATATTTTTAAATATCTTTCGAATTAACAATTTGCCAAGTCCCTCAGTTATTTTTCAAAAATATTTCTTTCCTGGAAAAGGTAATTAAATACATGCATATTAATTTTTGCAATACCATTAGGTAATTATTCAAGATTGATATTTTGTAAATAACCACAGGCTACAGGTATCGCTAAAATAGGTAATTGAGACTCTCAGAGGCACGTGTAATATGGCGTTTAATGAAATTCCTAGAATCCTTGTCGATTCCAAGAATGCGTTTGTATTCGTTATGTTTCAATGACCTACGGAAAATATACTGCGTGGCATACCTTACTAAACACCCAAAGGCGGAAGACAGGAAATTTTAATTTAACTTCAGATAAGAAAATAACAAAATGTTAGTAATGACTAGACTATAAATAAGGAATATGATGAAACAAAACTGATAGGATTTTTCTTTGTCAGATCTGTAATGATTTCGAGGAGAACAGCTGTGCTATATGATAACTATTATTAGTATTATAATGATGTTAGAATATCATAATAATAATAATGATAGTAATAAGAAATGATAGTAATAATAATAATAAAGCACTTCATGGTAAACACAAATATAATACAAGACTCAGAAATAAACAAACAAGCCACATACGAGTGACTCAAACAAGAAATCATTTTCCCAGAAACAAAAGGGTTTATAACAACAATACAGTATCAGGTTATTAATTATCAAAAGAAACTGTAGGAAATACGTAATCAAGGACAGTATACTAACAGGCAAATGTAGAAAATGCAACATACACACGGAATCAATGGACCATATCACAACAGGATGCGAACTACTAGCTACAACCGAACATACAAACAGGCATAACAATGTCGGAATAATTCTGCACATAACCCTCACAAATAAACACAAACTCACAGACTCCACTCAATCTTATTATAAATGCACTCCACTGAAGGTCATGGAAAATGACACACATATAGTCTACCGAGACAACCCTATACTCACAAACAAAACAATTGCAGCTCGTCACACTCATAGACAAAGCAAACAAGACCACGTGCATCATCGACGTAATCATATCAGACTACCACAACGTAAAAAGAAAATACACTGAGAGAATAGAAAAATACACCCCACTAGCACAGGAAATAAAAGGAATATGGAACCAGAAAAGAGTAACTATAGTTCCCTTTATAATTTCAACACAGGCATCATGCAGATATCCTTCATACAAAATCTGCAATTACTAAATCTATCAACACACATACACTCGATCATACAAAAAGCAGTCATACTAAACACCACGTCAAAAGCAAGACAATTCGTATAACAGAAACACCAGCATAAACCTAATATAAATTATGCTGAAGATAAACCAGAGAAATTCTGAGGACCCACAAGGATGCAAATAATACTAACAATAATAATAACATGATATTATTCGAACATTTTACAATAATATAAAATAATTATAAAGTTATAGCGTCATAATAACATCGTTAGTTGATCACAATTAAAAATTAGTCAAACTGTTATCAAAGATTATTCCTCATAGTATAATACACTTACTGACAATAGCTAAGAAACAACGTAAACATTCGCGAATCTTCAAAAATTATTTATCTTCCGAGATACGTATTCTGAAATTGAAAAATTTCTTTGTAGACGTATAAAAACAAAGCTTATTGTTTCCAGACGTGCAAGATGTTATCTTCCCATCTTGTTTTTAACATTAATACGTGTCTCTCGGAGAACAAAGTGTACAAAAATTCGCTAATCGTGACTTTATTCCTTACCTCTAATCACTAAGTACACGGTGTTAATCTAATCAGAAATCCACAATCAGATATTGTCGTGGAATTTAAGTAAACAATATTTCTGCGTATCAATAACTCTTCGAACTGCTCGTATAACGCGCAGCAGCATATTACTTGATCTATTCGGAAATACAAACCTAATACCTTGACATTCGATCTCGACGAAGATCATGTTTTCTCCAGAGGAAACAATCGCTGCTGTATTAAACCTCGACAATGTATAAATAGAAATTTTATTTATTTTCTCACATAAATTGCGTGCATAGTAAACCTATACGAAGGTAGGATCGCCAAGGCTACAGTAAAAATCAAGATCAGGAAATAATTATTAGCTAACAGCGCTGATGACGAGCATATTCGAAAGCCATAGTTGCCAAAGTAGAGTTATCTGTCTATTGCACAGTTTTATTTCCAAATTAATTAATGAAATAGTCATAATCCTATCTACGAATACTAAAATCCTGTGCACTGCCATAATGAGCGTAACTCGTCATCAGTTCTCGTCGAATATTAGAATTATAAGATACACTTGTCACACGATAGATATAGAACACAAGTACTACTCCGAATCTCGAATCATCGACGTCATACCGATCTTCTACGAATTTAATTATCAGGGTATCTATCGGGTATTTTATCGATGAGCATCGTCGTTCCAGGAACCGCAATTTTCTCCACTCCAGCTATCTTGTCGCTCCTCGGTTGGATCTTGAACCAGAACCCGTTCTCAGCAGTCACAGCGATCCCTTTCTTGCTCAACTTCATCGGTATGGGTGTCTTCGAGCAGGGAACGAGATCACACTTTGCGAATATGTGAAACAGCAACACCTTCGACTCCAGCAACGCGAATCTGTTACCGATGCACATCCTGGGCCCCATACCGAAGGCTATCAGCGACCCAGCGTTGAGAAACTGCTTAGGATCACCGTTGAACCTGTCAGGATTGAACTTCTCCGGCTCTGGGAAATACTTTGGATCGTGTTGGATCCCATAGATCGGTATCCACAGGCAATCACCCTTCTGCACGACGTGTGGCTTTGCTCCTGGCAGATGTGGTGGCAGTTCGAACGGTTTCGCGCACACTCTGTCAGTAGCGACAATCGCAGGGTACATCCGGAGGCTCTCGTAGAGGATAGCATCCAGGTACTGCATTTCGTTGATAGCCTCGTACGTGACTTCTCCCTTGCACTCCTTCAGAACTTGGTCGATCTCAGCCTGTAGCCTCCTTTGGATCTCTTCGTCGACACCCACTCCGTAAGCAGCGAAGCATATGAGAGTAGAGGTGCTCTCGAATCCACCGAAAAAAAAGGCGAACGCCTGAGCCATTATATCTATGAGAGTCAGTTCCTTCCCCGGTTCCATTTTCCCTCTGGTCTCCATCATCAGTTGAAGCACATCCGGACGAACGATGTTCTTCTCGTCCCTGGTCTTTATCGTGGTTTCCACCATGTCCTTGAAGAAGTTCATGATCTCAGGCCTGATGATGGTGATACCCAACCGATCAGCCAGCCATGGAGAGCATTTTATCACGAAGCACTTCAAAGATGGCGATGCTCCGAAGTTAGTAGCCTCTCTGCCATACACGTAGAACTTATTCTCCGGATCCTTCATCGAGTTCACCTCCACACCGAACACGCAGCTGGCGATGACGTCATTGGTGTACCTCGTGAACACGTTCTTTAGATCCATGGTAGCCTCGTCTTCTTGCAGATTAGCCAGGTAGTTCCCGTATTCCTTGGCACAGTCGTTCATCAACACGAACATCAGCTTCATCTTGCTAGAGGTGAAGGCTGGGCTCAGGATGTTCCGTACTTCCTTCCACCTGTCACCACGAAGGGCGAATCTGAACATTGGTTCCGACTTCTCTGTCGACAGGGACCTGTGATCCGGGAAGTGCTCGAAGTTCTTCACGGTGACCGATTTGACGAGCTCCAGGTCCCTGATCATGATCACTGGCGCGATCAGGTCGAAGCAGCCCACGTACTTAGCCTCGGGGTTCACGTTGTATGCCTCCTTGACCACTTCGGCATACGAGCATCGCTGAAGCACCATGTTCCAAATGCTGCCTAGCAGTGGGTTCCTCTCGAAGCAAGGAATATCGCGTTTCACGAAGAAGTCGAAGTTTCTCGTTAAAAGATAGTAGGCCAACGTGAGCACGGAGACCAGCGCCGAGATTATTACCCACCATTCCATTTTGTTTTGTTATTTTCCAACCAATTCGATCGATCTTATCGGATACTTGCACTGCACGACACTGTACTTCTCGATAGAGACTTGTCACAGGTATGTATGTGGCTGGATGAACCGTCACCGCTTCCTGTTTCGAATCGCTTTCACGTTGATGGAGTCGGGCAGGTTATGACAGAATTGCGGCCTTGACACGTTGATTACCGGACGATTTTGGACTTTGCGAACGCAAGTAACAGCGTGATAAGAGGAGCGATTCGACAGCGATCATACTTGATCGCTAGCTGCGTAGCAACTGCTCGAATACGAATGACGAAATCAACGTTCTATTTATACCCATCCATACACCAAACGTTGTAGGCTCTCAGAAGCGAATATTATCGAGTGCCTGTGTGCACCGTCTATGTAGGTGTTGTAAAATTACATTTCTTAAGTAATTCGTAGGCTCTGTCTTTTCTTTGTCAGCACGTTGTTACTGTTTTAAATTATTCGTCAGTCTTATTCTCTGGTTGTTTAACATCCGTCGACGATGCGTGCTGAAAATTTTGTAGACTATACATATTCTTTGTATGTCTATACATTCTTCTTTGTCAGCACGTTGTTACTGTTTTAAATTATTCGTCAGTCTTATTCTCTGGTTGTTTAACATTCGTCGACGATGCGTGCTGAAAATTTTGTAGACTATACATATTCTTTGTCTATACATTCGGTATTCTCTTTTTCCATGTATTATATAGAAAATTATGAAGTGCTTTTGCTAAAGTAGCATAGGAGTCAAAATTAATGGTACTTTGCTAGTAGAATTATAGTCTCATGTAATTTGCCATTAGACACTTACATTGCTTCATTAATCATGTTATTGGATGGTACACGCGTTGATTTAATTAGTATTCGAGAATGGAAAAACATCGTTGATGATTATATTGCTTCGTTTGTTTGGAAATTGATGGGGATCAAAACTGTCGAGCTTCCCGAAATACTCGAGATCACGTGGTATAGCGTAAAATGGCAACCACACACGCGAACCTTCCTTCACTGTGCATGGCTGTGTCCCGGTAGCGTAGGAGGTAATTCGTATCGTTTAGGACACTCTCGGTCTGTGATTGGTATAATTGGATACAGTCACAATGTCTCGTTGATCATAGAGTCGAAATACTCCAGGCTATTCAATCGTTCCAAAGCCATGTCGTCTTCAGTGTCCTCGAGGACACTATCGATTTCGACGTGAAATCTTTCCTAGTACCCTAGGTTCGCAACCGGTTCGCGAATCGCGAAGCACAGAAGGCTGAAAGCGGCATTGAATTCGCCGAAAAAGGAGACGAACATCTGAACGGTTATATCGTCCACTGCCAGTTCCTCACCTGACCCAAATTTAAGTCATCATTAGGTGGATGAAAACCGGTTTCACTATTCCCTGCTCGTCCCCAACATTCCTATTATCGCACACCACATTATTGAAGAATGTGAGCAACTATGGGAAGAATTAAGTGAATAAAAGCAGTTCCAAATAGAGCAATTACAGACATTAATAAAGAACTTTCAAAAAAAGAAAGAAAAGGAAGAAATCAGTCGTTGTCATTAAAACGTTCACTATGAAAACATATTCATCAAGGTGCATCATATTCGTCACACGTTCATTACCGTCTCATTCAACTCCTGAGCGAGAGTTTTTAATTGCTGGGAGGTTAAGTGATCCACCAAAGCTTGGAATTGATCGTCGTTTAAATGCTCTGCCAAAGTTTGAAGTTGATCGCTTGTTAGATTTTCATTCTTGACAGTATATATGCATTTAATTATTCTTACGCCGTTTCTGAGATAATTCATCCTTCCTGTACCATCATCTTGGATATGGAAGATATTCGAGGATAGGTTCGCTGCATTAGCACATTTGATGACAGATAATATACAGTATCTAGTGACAGAGTGTTAGGAGATACTTGTAATAAGACTGAAAAACTGACTGTCATTAAACCAAGGTACATCATATTTCTCACACGTTCATGACAGTTGTTTGGGGATCTTCCTCCATGGTTGTTGTTGAATGGTCGCAGGTATCCTCAATGTGACAGCAGTTAGAAGAAAAGGGATGCGTTTCGTCCTAGGCCTGATAGATAGACTCATCAGTAAGGCTATTTAGCAGGTCCTGTCTTTGACGGGGATACTATTGGAATGTTGGGAAATTTTATATATAGGAAATGGACTTGCGAGAAAGTCCTCGAACCTCCTTCAAGTAGGAATCCATCTACTAGAGTGAAAATGATGTCGTTATACAGTTATCCAGCTCCCATGTCCGAAATACATAACCTCGTTTAGCTAGCAAACGTATCAGTCGCCTTCACAACTCGTTGTTTTTGACTTCGTTTATATACCTGACATAAAAGCAAACTCGTGACAAAGAGTTTTGACAACTGACCAATTTCTTACCAAGAAGACTGCAATATTTTTCGTATGCGTTTTATTCAAAGGAAAATAGGAATATCTCGAATTACCAATATCACATTGATCGTTTACGAATTAAATTATCAAGATACCTATCGGGTATTTTCGATCAACATCGTCCCTGGGTCTACAATTTTCTCTACTCCAGCTTTCTTGTTGCTCCTCGGTTGGATCTTGAACCAGAACCCGTTCTCAGCCGTCATAGCGATCCCTTTCTTGCTCAACTTCATCGGTATGATTGTCTTCGAGCAGGGAACGAGATCACACTTTGCGAATATGTGAAACAGCAACACCTTCGACTCCAGCAACGCGAATCTGTTACCGATGCACATCCTGGGCCCCATACCGAAGGCTATCAGCGACGCAGCGCTGAGAAACTGCTTAGGATCACCGTTGAACCTGTCAGGATTGAACTTCTCCGGCTCCGGGAAATACTTTGGATCGTGTTGGATCCCATAGACCGGTATCCACAAGCCATCACCCTTCTGCACGACGTGTGGCTTTGCACCTGGCAGATGTGGTGGCAGTTCGAACGGTTTCATGCACACTCTGTCAGCAACGGCAACTGCAGGGTACATTCTGAGACTCTCGTAAACGACAGCATCCAGGTACTTCATTTCGTTGATAGCCTCATACGTGACTTCTCCTTGGCACTTCTCCAGAACTTGGTCGATCTTCGCCTGTAACCTCCTTTGGATCTCCTCGTTCACACCCACTCCGTAAGCAGCGAAGCACATGAGAGTAGAGGTGCTCTCGAACCCACCGAAATAGAAAGCGAACGCGTGAACCATTATATCCATCACAGACAGTTCCTTACCCGGGCCCATTTTCCCTCTAGTCTCCATCATGATCTGAATCACGTCCTGACGAACTATGTTTTTCTCGTCCCTGGTCTTTACCGTGGTCTCCACCACGTCCTTGAAGAATTTCGTGATCTCATTCCTCACGATATTGATACCGAACAGCTCAGCTAGCCAGGGAGCAGTCTTCACCACGAAGAATCTGAGAGATGCCCACACTCCAAAGCTAGTAGCCTCTCTCCCCAGCACGTAGAACTTGTTCCTCGGATCCTTCATAGAATTCACGTTCACGCCAAAGATACAGGTGGCGATCACATCGTTTGTGTACTTGGTGAACGCGTCCTTGAGATCAATAATGGACTCGTCGCCTTTCAGATTCTCCAGGTGGTTCGCATAGTCTTTTGCGCAATCGTTCATCAACAGAAACATCAGCCTCATCTTGCTAGACGTGAAGGCTGGGCTGAGGACAGTCCTCATCTCCTTCCACCTTTCACCTCGAAGGGAGAACAAGTTTTTCTTGAAAATTGGTTCCACTTTCTCGTTATTGACGCTTATATGATCCGGGAAGTGCTCGAAGTTGGATACAGTGATCGATTTGATCAGATCCAGGTCCCTGACGACGATCACCGGCTTCAAGCAGTCGAAGAAGCCAACGTACTTGGCCTCAGAGTGCACGTTGTAGGCTTCCTTGATAACATCGGCGAACGTGTCTGTCTGAAACACTGTTTTTAAGATGCTTCCTAGCAGCGGGTTGCCTTTGAGCCATGGGATGTTGCGTTCCTCGAAGAAACGGATGTTTCGAGTTAGGTGGTAGTAGGTCACCGTGAGTACTGCGACCATTATTGCAATTATTACCCACCACTCCATTTTGTTTTCGTATTTGCCAATGGACTCGATTAATCTTATCAGGTTGTTGCACTGAGTCACTTCTTGGCAGAAACTTGTCAAGGTTATGTTTGTTGCTGGATGGACTGAGACTGCTTCCTCTTTTGGACTGATTTTCACAGGTTAGGTCGGCGAAATTGTAGCAAAATTCCGGGTTTTGATACGTTGCTTGTCGGACGGGTTTCTACTATATGAACACAAGGAAACACGTGTGACAGACGAAACGATTCGACTGCAACGGTAACCTGATCGTTGACTGGTCGGCAACTACTCGAGTACCAGTGACGAAATCGCTGACTTATTTATACTCAACACACCAAGCGTGGAATCCAGGAGGCGATTAGTATCGAGTGTCTGTGAGCACTATGTGTGTGTTTTAAAATTACACTTTTTCTCTACTTCGTTGACCTTATCTTCTGTTTAGTCGAAAATGCGAATATCTATTGAAAGTATGTTCCAAGATCGGCAAAGGCGAATATGTAATTTCGAGATTAGATAGATGTCTGTCGTCAGTGCACGAGATATTAACGTTTCAACGGCGATAGTTTCCTAATATGTCGCAATGTTTCGACGGTAATTGAAACATTCAACGAACTCTCGAAGCTGCATTTTTGTGAACACATATTGCGCAATACGAAGCAACCAGTGTCAACAGCGTTCATTGACGTTGAAATAATTGCAAAGCATTATTCTTTGAAGAAATTCTCAAGTAGGATATGTTGTGATCTATTTGCATGCAGAAGAGATTAATTGAAAATCAATTAATCGTGTAAATTAGTTGAAATTTTCTTGCATTTTTGAATTATCAAACTGTAAAATATTTCTGTTTATTTTTTAAATGATTTCTCTGCTGCTGGAGCTATTTTCAAATTCAGTATTCTGTATTCTTACGTCGAGTACGACAAGTATATATCGATTAATTTGCAGTACTAGTAGGGTATTATTAAATATTGATATTTTGTAATTAACAGTTTGATTGTTACGTGTTTTTTATTTGGCATGCTCAAGGGACCACGATAAAATTTACATTATTCCTAGGATGTAATGATGAATTATCAAACAATGTAGCAGAGGAAAAGGATGGTGAAAATTATTAATGTCTTCTATTAAAAATTCTCTATTTATTTACGTTGTTCAAATTTTCAAAAAATGGTTACAATGAAATAAATATAAATTTACAAATTTAGTATCGCCGATACTGGTGACATAATGCGACAGAAATTAATTAAAAATTAATTAAAAATAACAAAATAACCATGAGGAAAGTCGATGTCTAAATCGGTTCGTTCGATTTTTTTAGATATTTTTCGAATTAATAATTGCGAAGTCTTTTTGTTATTTTTCAAAAAGATTTCGTTGCTGGAAAAGGTATTTAAATACATATATATTAATTTGAAATACCATTAGATAATTATTCAAGATTAATATTTTATTACAGAAATGAATTAAATATTAATTAAAAATAAAAAAAATAACTATTAAAAATTGTCGATGTCTAAATTGGCCCATTCGATTTTTTTTTTAGATATTTTTCGAACTAACAATTGTGAAGTTCTTTTGCCATTTTTCAAAAAAATTTCGTTGCTGGGAAAGCTATTTAAATACATGTAGATTAATTTTCAATACCATTAGATAATTATTCAAGATTGATACTTTGCGACAGAAATAAACTAAAAATTAATTAAAAATAAAAAAATAATCATGAGAAAAGTCGATATCTAAATTGGCTCATTCGATTTTTTTTAGATATTTTTCGAATTAACAATTGCGAAGTCTTTTTGTTATTTTTCAAAAAGATTTCATTGCTGGAAAAAGTATTTAAATATATATATATTAATTTGCAATACCATTAGATAATTATTCAACATTGATATTTTATAAATATATCATTAGATAATTATTCAAGATTGATATTTTATAAATATATCATTAGGTAATTATTCAAGATTGCTATTTTGTAAATATATATGCTACAGGTATCGCTAAACTAGGTAATCGAGACTCACAGTTGTCTAACCTTTAATGAAATTCTCAGAACTCTTGTTGATTCCAAGAATGGGTGTCGTTTCATCATGTCCCCACGCGTATTTTCTTTAATCTGCGTGCATTTGTTATGGCTTTCTTCCCTCTTTGAACAGGCGAATCGGGTTCGCGTTAGTGAGAGAATGAGAAATTTGTTAGGAAACGGCTGGGATTATGGAATTAAGTTTCAGCCGGTACAGTTTCCAACTTATTTCGTGTGTAATGAAATTTACATTCATTTCCGTGACAGGCACGCATACGAATTTCGATTTCAGCCAGCGTTTATTTTAAACGGGGACCGGTTAAATGAAATCGTGGCACGCTTAAACGAATTATGCCCGCGAGATTACAATGTATGGATGATGGAGTTTTCGTTGACGGTTATAGGGAATTCCGGACGGTCATCGCGTGAAATTCCTGTTCACTGTGCCATGATTCAGTGGGTAAACAAAGTACAATGGAACGTTCATTATCCGAATGAATTCGAAGACAGTAGTGTTGTATGGGAATTTTCATTGCAATGAAACAAGTGGTTAACGAGTAGGTTCATTTATTACAATACTCAAAACGTGATAAAATGCAGCGAATATCGTTTAATCTTGGATAATTGTGCCTGTAATTATGAAAGTGATCTAAGTCATCGACTTAAGAGGAACGATTTTATTATTTATTTCGTGTTACATTCATTTATATTACGATAAAATATATTTATTTTCTACAAAATAGTGAAGAATTGAATCGTCAGATTGAGTTCGCAGCTTCATCGCAATTAATTTTATAATTTATGACGTATTTAAAGACCGAAGCTTTTAATATTTCAGAAGCAAATATAAATGACTTAGACCACTTTCATAATCACAGGCACAATTCAATGTCTACAGTACAAAGTAGAAAAAGGACAATATTATTTAAACCTCCTTAACGAAATTTTTCTTCAATTTCTTGAACATTCTCCATTGTTTAATTAACGATACCACTTGCTCTTGTTTTGATAAAGTAGTCATAAAATTATTATTATTTGATGTTATTATTTCGCTATTATAATATTAAACTAGTAAGAGGACGTTACTTAATTTTTATTATTACTATATGACGTGCTATGTTAATTTTATACTGAATCTATCTATTTTATACTAAACTTCGTATGTTTGTACAAAGTTTTATCATAAACAGCAATAACTTATCAAAAAATTATTCCACAATAATTCTAAAAAGACTATATAATAATATAGTTATATAAAATATATTTAATAACAGATTAAATATATACAATATAAAACTATATATAATATAAGGGACCAAAGGAAGGTCTCATGGGACACGAATTTGCATTTATTCAACCAAATAGTCCTATAAAATTAATATTAAAGTATAACAATACCAATTATAGTTTAACTTAAAGGTTTATGAGAAAATAATTTCATTGTACCTTTAAAAATGGCTGTCAAAGAAGCAAACAAAAATCTCACAGCACATCAATAATTACAAATTAATTAATACTCTCTTCGAACATTTAAAATTTCAAGTTTCGAATTAAATGTTTAATTAATTAATAAAGAAAAATAACGACGCAATGTTACCTACATATATATTCATATTCATATGATATTCATGGACAAAGTCAGAACATTTGACTACATTTGTTGCACAGATTATCCAAAACTTCTGCTCGCTACTGTACGCAGTGAACCGATCAAATCATCGATACAGGGATATTCTAAACGCGAGGTATAATCCCTGGCGACTCGAATTAGACACGTATCCAAAAACACCTACTCATTTCCATGACCACAAGCCGTCTAAATACAAGATAATATCGCGTATAATCCGATTATAAAGTTGCTTCAATATCAGCAGCATGCGTGTATTTCGGCTGTTCCATTCGATCTCTAAACCGAGACTGCAACGTAATTCCCTTCTCCGCAAATGTATCAACAATTATGAAAATAATAATTAAGTCAAAAATTCCAGATTTTATAATCATTTATATAACCTCTTATATTCAGCTGCATTCATTTGCATAGCGATAAAATATTGTAGAATGGCAAAAACTGGTTTTGAGACACCGAAAATTGACAAAACAACAACAGAATAACACAAACTCAAAACTCATAAAACTAATTTAACTTAGGAAAAGAACACCAAGATAACGAAACGAAAACACACAAAGACGCACTCTAATTTAACTCTCTTTCCAACACCGAGCGACTCACGCTCGTGCTGGTCACAATTAACCCTTTGCACTCGACGATTTTTTGGCCAAAGAAGGATAAGAGTTGAAAGATTTTCTGTTACAAAGCTGACGATATTTTTCCGAGCAGCGAATAAGAAATCGTATGATAATTAACACGTAGAATTATTTGATTTCGATACCTCGCACACCGTTGCATTATCTGAAATTTGACATATTTATGAATATCGAGCCTCGAAATTTTATCAAATGGCGATTGTAGGGTGCCTCTCGAGCGCAGAGGGTTAATTTCTAAGGACTCCGTTTTGGTCGTCAAGGGCCCTGCTTTTATGCTTTTCTTAACCTACGCTTCACCTCCCCGTAGGGACCACGCAATTTAATTTTGTTACCCAAAATAACTTTTCCATTTGCTTCTAGAAAATATTGATCGGTTTATAATTTATTTTTGTTGACAATGGCCGATTCGCGATTTCTTTGGAAATGGTATCCTACAATATATTTATCGTTGTTTAAATAACAAAGACTTGGACCCTCAGATCGAGTTCATAGCTCTATTGAAATTTTTAATTTAGGATATATTTAAGGCGCGAGATTTAAATATTTTGACAAGGCACACACGTGAATTAGAGCACGCGCATAATCACCAGCAGAAATATCGGCTTCCTGATTGCTCGATATTTGGTCTCATGAAAAGAAATGGTAAAAAATGCCGAAGCAAAGTTCGTGATCAATGCAAACGGGATTTTAGCGAAAAATATTGGTTTTTAGCGGAAATACGAGGACAGACGAAGAATATGTTTGCCAATTACCTGTCGTGAGTTCGCAATTAATTCTACTCTCGATGGATATTCAACAGAATGTGTTTTCTACCCTCGAAGAGGATTTTCTACCTATGGTTTCGTACAACATGTTGTTTTACCTATAGGAAGAATGGTCTCATTAGGGATATTTTCCAGAATCGTTGTAGAATCAGGGGATTAAAGGATTAAAGAGGTTTAGAATTAAAGAGGATTACAATAGGTGTTGTTCTTTGATTCCTCTTAT